AATCTAGTAATGGCTCAAGAAAAATTGACAAAACCTTTATTGTCCATGATTTTCACTGATAGATGTGTCAAAAGGCTCAATTATCTTATAATTAAGGATTCGAGAACTATTTAAATAAATTGTTAGAACAGAAGTATGTAAAAATCACTTTATAAACAACTTACAATCTCTTAATAACACATTTAATATATGGTGTTAGTCCTGTTATTTTCTTAAAAACGCTTGCACCTTTGTCACCTATATCATTAGTGCTAGCATTGCTCATGGTTATATTTGAATTGCTAATATTAGTGATGGTATTGGCGTTCGTGATGGTATTATCAGCATTGGTATTTATGTTTTCCATTGTAGTCATAGTTAGGGCCTCAAGTATAGTATTAAAATTAATACGTTCTATTAGTTGTCTGATCTCATTGTCTATTAAAAGATGAATATAATTAACTTGCAAAAGTGTTAATATAAATGAAGGAATCTTCTGTGATCATTTAGAAAATTAATATCTTCTATAGAGAAGATCACTTTAATGTCATTATCATTTGTATTAATAATATTTGAAAAAATTTCATGATTATAATAAGAATCTTTTTCTTGAATTTGAATGATTGCTTCTTGCAGAGAATCTTCTATAGTTCGTCTGGATGGTAACTTATTATTGGATTTCTGTGAATGAAGCATAGTAATAAAATATTTGATTATGCGAAAATAATAGGTAAAGATTTAAGTATCAGGATTACCTGCTTTTGATTTTCCAATAATTCCCAGTTTGCTGATTTTTGTTCTAATACATCATCTACATTCAGAATAAATTTATGAGTTTAGTTTTAAAGAGCAAAATAAAATATAAACCATGCATGCCTAAGAAATTCTGCACTTCAGGTAGAATTTTATTTTTATCAGATTTCGCATATTGCTGGCACCAGCCTGACCAAAACTTCTTGACTTCGTTTGATCCTTTGTCTTTCTATCACATGTAATACTTAATATGCATTGTTTGTATAGATAAGTAGAAAAAAAATGAAATAAAGTGAATGCTATGCTTGATGACTTTTCAAGAACTGACAAGCAAGCAATTATTAAAAAAAATGCTATGCTCGCCGACTTTCAGAAACTGATGAGCTAAGTGATAAAAATTAAAGTAGAATACTATGCTTGATGACTTTTCAGAGACTGACAAGCGAGCAATCAAATTAAAAGACAAAATGCTAGGCTCGCCAACTTTTTAGAAACTAACAAGCTAAGCAATAAAAATAATTAAAAATAAAAAAGATATCTAAATTTTATAAATTATAAAATTATCAGAAAGGTTTTAACTTTTATAAATATGAGTCAAAGGCTTAAATAGTCTTAAACTTACCAAGTAAGTTTTATAAAGATTTTTTTGTGTTTTCTCATCAAAAATACGGTTTATATGTCTTTTATAAGTTTCATATTCATCTTTCCAATTAGTATCTTGTTGGGCTTGCTTGTATTTTTTTCTTTTTAGAAAATTTATCAGCTTCCACTCACTATAAGGTTTTGCGAAATATAAAACATAATCCATTTCATTCAAATTCGATCCTGGCATTATCCTAGAAGGTGTGCTTAAATTGGACGAAGATCATGAGATGTGAGAATCTAATGATGACGGGCTGGTTAAC